TATATATATATATATATATATATATATACATACATACATGTATGAACATTGCAGAATAAGTTACTAACTTGTAAGCACAATAAGCATTTGTAAACCTTTTTTTTTTTTATATATATATAATATTGTAATTTAGCATTACATTATAATTATCTACAACTAATATTTTATCCTAGAATTAGGTTTACAAATGCTTATTGTGCTTAAAAGGCAGTAACTTGGTCTGAAATGTTTCATATAACAACTCTAGATGAAATGTATAGGTGAACAGATTTGGCTCACTATTTGGCAACAAATTGGTCAGTTTTATCTCTGTCATCCGTAATTACGGTAATGCATAATAAACAGTTATTAATGATTTATAAAGTGTTTATAGAGGAATTAATAAACTGTTTATTAGCCATCTATAAGGGGAGCCTTATTGTAAAGTGGTACCAAAATGGGTAATATTTAAGTCTAATGATAACTCCATTCTGTTAAAAAAAACAAAAAAAACAACTAAACTCTGTCATTTCACTTTAATGGCGGTGTTTTTTTGAACGAGACACGTAATGTGTTTCTGTTATCAGAGGGTTGTTTTAGCTTATGTAAAGCTAAAAGCAGTGTTAGCTTCTGTTAGCTTGAACAGAATAGGTCTGAGCCCAAAGCAGCTCTCGGAGTGAAGACGGTTCAAAAAGAGCAAGTCTAAGGTCAGACGGCTTCATATCGTCCTGTTGTTTTAATGTTTAGCAGGACACGGCTTTTCAAGACCTAAATCTGAGAATATGGAAAGCACTGAATTATTTATTATTCTTGGCTTAATGATCAATTGGCCTGCCTTGTAACGAGCAAAATAATGATTGATACTATGAATGTTTGTTGTCATGTGATTTGTAAATGTCACAGAAACAAGTCTGCTTCCTTCAATCAGAAAACCTTTTCCCATAGGCTGTTTATAGCAGCATAGAAGTAAAAGTTATACTATATAGCTCTTTAAAATGAGGATTTGACAAAATATCTGATTGGTAATTGATTATTTTTTCCTTACTATACAGATTTTTAAATAAGAGATGATCTTTTTGCAGTCTTGTGCTGTACATTTATGGATGTTTATCCTTTTTTCAGCGACATCTTGGTTGTTTTTGTGGGGGCTACTTTAGCTCGGTGGTCAGTGCTGAGGCCTTGTAATCCTCAGGCTGCTGGTTCAAGCCCAGGTCGTGTCAGGAAAGGCATTTTGCATCAAACAATGGCCAAATCTTTATTGCCAAATCCTCGTTTGTTTAATTAAAGTTTGCTCAAGTTCTCGGAAGAAAGGAGCAGCCAAAAGCAAAACGGCGACATTTAATAAACTAGACGGATTACAGTCATTAGGATCCGTTTTTGACAGGTTTTAGCAGAATCGGTCATCAGTACTCACATGGTTTTAAATTTGAGTGAAAGTGTGTTTTTGTTTGAAACGTCTGACGGTTTGTGCAGTTTTTTTTAAAAACCTCTGTTTATTCCAGCTTTTACATGAAAATAATGATTTTCTACATGATTTTAAAATGAATTTCTTTTTCCAGGGAGAACCAGAGTTCATAAAAGAGACTCCGGAGTGTACCTACATGTTCGACTGGCCCACGGCGCTGGCCTGCGTCCCACTTAAAACCACCAGCTGCTCCTACATGTAAACGACATTCTCTCATTCTGAACTTTGCAAAAGATTTCAGTCACTTATTTCTTTATATTTTACATCAAAGAAGTCAAACTTTTGGAATAATTAATCGTTAAAGCTCATTCAAGTCTTCAGTGAATCTGATCTCTGCTGTTTGTCCTTAAAATAATCTGAAAATATGACGAGTATTAAATAATAAAAAGACTATCTGCAGTACATGATCAGTATCAGTAGTATATTGTGGGGAGTGGCGCAGAGGTTAGAGAAGAAGGGCCTGTGACTGGAAAGTCGCAGGTTCGACTCCGGTACAGACATCAAAATGTGGGTGGAAAAGGTGAAACGCCCACACCTGCCTCCACTCTCATTTGTACCACTCCGAGCCCTTGAGCAAAGCTCTTAACCCCCAACATCCGCTCCCAAACGGGTCTCTCTTGAAAATGAGTTCTCGTGACTCAAAGACTACCTGTATAAATAAAGGGTAAAAAAAAGGTATCCAAAAGTGACACATTTAAGAAACTGAAAAAAAAAAAAATCCTACAAAACTAAGAGGAACTTGTGCGATAAATAATCTTTCATTTTACACACATTTCTATATTATACTTTATTAAATATCCCCATTGGAGATTAATAAAGTATAATATATGATTGTTAAGTTGCCTTTTTATAGATATTACTAGTAATCTGTCTGTTTTTAGAGTCCAGTTTGCAAGCATAGTAGTCCCTCGTTTATCGCGGGTGTTTAGTGACCACGCCCACCCGCGTTAAGTGAACCCACATGAAGTAGGGATACAGTAATCCAAGTTCAGTTCAAGTTCAGTAAACTTTGTCATGACGTGCCAGGCTGCAGTCACACTCATCACCTGTTACTCCCAATCTCCCTCCTTAAATAAACAATTTAAATTTAAATACTGTAACATTTACAGCATGGATTGTTTATTTAAAATGTTAGTGTTTTAAATTTAAACTGTAGAGAAGAGAAGTGCAGCAGGACGTCAAAGGGATGTCGCACAGCTTCAGCTCTGCAGCACCGAGCAGAAATGTACTTCTTGATCAAATACACTTCAACTGAACATAGAAGTTCTAAAATAATTAAAAATAACTTTGAACAATTTTATATTTTGTGATTATGACGATTTTACGATGTGACATACTTTGAATTTTAAGTTGGAAGGCAAAAGTTGATCGGTGCGTCTGGACAGCAAAGGGTTAACCCTTCACAACGCTGCAGCAGGAAAAATGTGTGCGTGGCAGAGAAGGAAATCAGCTGATCGGCTGCACTTGTGATGATGCAAAATCATTTAAAATCATTTATTTAAAATAAACTCATCCATCAATCAGCCAAGTGTCATGTCCAATTTTATTTTGAAAATCCGCCATAAAGGAACTGCAAAGTAGCGAGGGACTACTGTACGTTTATCTTCCTCTTCTAATTCTTCCAGCTTCCTCCTTGTTATTTCATATCACTTATTGTTTGTGTCTCAGTAAACGACTTTTTAAATAATATTTTTGAGTTGCTAAATGAGTACAGTTTATTAGGAATGCTTTTATTATGAGGCTCTCTTTTCCTTTATATTTAAATGTAGATGTTTGGATTTAAAATCAAATCTTAAAGTCAAACCCCTCGTCGACACAAAAACATTTGTTCTTAAATTGCAATGACTGTTAGGATCAATATGTGAGCTGATGCTGAGTAATTCAAGGGTTTACAGAAAAACGGTTCAGTTAACATTTCGTGTTGTTTTTCTCAGTGACGGTCAGGGCCACTCCTATGACCTTTCACCTCTGGCTTTGGACTCTCAGAACTGGGAGGTGGAACTTTCTACGGGAGACACCAGGAAGCGGTTTTACATCAACGTGTGCAGGTCCCTGGTGCAGCAGGGAGGTCAGTGCCCGCGCTCACGGCAGTGTTTAAAACCCAGTTCAGGTCAAACGGTGACGCTGTGCTCGTCTCGCTGCAGGGAAGTGGAAGTGTCCTTCCGGCTCTGCGTCCTGCATGAAGGATGGAGACGATTACGTGAGTCTGGGACAGGTGGAGTCCAGTCCCATGTGGGACAGTACCGTCCTGAAGCTGCAGTACACCAGCGGACAGGCCTGCCCCGACGAAAGCCGGAACAGGACCAGCATCATCCGCTTCAAGTGCGACAAAGATAAAGTGGTGAGACTTTCTTATTGTTCTGTTTTTAGGGAATTTCTTTGTGTTTTTGTGGATATTGATCAAACGTCTCGTCTGTGAGACGAGTAGCTTTTAGCCGAGACTACAGAAAGAAGTAGCTTTTATCTTTGTGTTTATTAAAACAACAACAACTATTTTTCCCAGGATTCCCGGCCCACTTTGATCTCTGAGATCGAGGACTGTGTGTACACCTTCCTGTGGTTAACAGCAGCTGCTTGTCCTTTAAACAGCGTCCAACAGGACGACTGCAGAGTCACCAACCCCGCCACAGGTCAGAAACGCCCAAACCTGCTCCATCGGCTCCTTTCATGAGTAAAAATAAAAACAAAACATAGAAAAGTTATGTTTAATTTAGAACACTGTTATTATCTCATAAAGATTGAAACACAACGACTGATAAAGTATCAAAGAAGTGATCTTTTTAGCTGCTTTTTAGGCTTTTAAAAATAAATATTTATTTAAAATTGGATTGTAAAAGTTTATCGTCTGAACTTTAATTTTTCTTTTTCTTTTAGGGCATTTGTTTGACCTGAACTCTTTGCAGAAAGCCGACGGTTACACGGTTTACGATCATGAAAACACAAAGATGTTCCGCATGAACGTCTGCGGAGAGATGACCAACAGCGGCTGCGACCCGGGCACCGGTATGTAGCACCACCCACTGAGAAAACCAAAAACCAGTAAGGAACCAGGTTGGTTTTCCACAGCCAGAGAGCAGCTCAGAGCCATGTTACGTTTTTATACGTCTCAACTGGTAAATATCTGATCCGTTCTCCGGTCAGATCAGAGGTTTTCACAGATAACGGTGTTTATTCCTGCAAGCAGGTGTCTTAATATCACCAATCTGTTTATAAACGCTGCTACGAACGCGAGCGACATTTCTAACAAGACCTAGAAACATCAGCTGCTGATTTTAAGAGATAATAAAGTAAATGATGCTCCAAGTCTATGGTTGTGAAGGCAGCTCCTCCGATCTCTGACCCACTTGAGCAGAGAAGGTTTTGTTCTTTTCTTTAATGAAGCAGAGTCGAAGAGAGACTAATTAATTATGTGCTTGTCAAAAGACAGTTGTGTATTGTTGTATGGCCCTGTTCATTTTGGCGTTCCACAGGGCTTTGTTCTGGAGCCATTGCTGTTTCTGCTCTATCTGCTCCCGCTTGGTGATACTTTCATCTTTTAAGGATATCTCTTATCATTGTTATGCTGATGCCATCCAGTTATATATTTCTTTTCTTCCAAATGAAGTTTCAAAACTACACATTTTACTTTACTCTTTGGATTCGATTAAAAGCTGGATGAATGAAAGTTTCCTCCAGCTAACTGGAGAGAAAACTGAAGTTGCTCCAGAAAAAAATTACAGCAGTGACGAAGCAAATCCTTGGGTCTCTTGGTCATTTTGCTAAATCCTCGGTTAGAAACCTTGGGATAACCTTTGACTCAGTTTTTACTCTGGAAAATCATGTACAGTCTCTGATCCATTCCTGCTTTTTTACCATCTGTGAAATATCGCCAAGCTTAGCCGTACTGTCTCTCGTCCAGAATTGGAAATGTTAATTCATGCTTTTGTTTGGTCTTGCCTGGATTTTTGTAATGCACCGTACACTTGTTTAACCAAAACCTCCCTAGAAATCCTCCTCTAGCTGCTGCTAGACTCCTGACTGCATCTTCAAAACTTTGTCATATAACTCCACTTCTAAAGCAACTCCATTGGCTCCCAGTTCATTATCGAGTGGATTTCAAGGTTTTGGTTTGGACTTTGCGAGCTCTGCACGGACAGACACCAATTTAAATCTCAGAACATTTACATCCCTACACCCCAATCAGGGCTTTGAGGTCTTGTGATCAAGACCTGCTGATTGTTCCCCAGACAAAACTGAAAACTAAAAGAGACGGAGCAACAAAGTCCATGCTCAGTAATCCAGGTATACAATCCAACATTTTTCAGTCAGGTCCAGATGACCTGACTGAAAAATGTTGGATAAGAGACAGAACCTTTTGTTCTGTAGCTCCAAGACTCTGGAAACTCTCGACCTCTCCGATCAGCGGCTTCTTTTAAAGGCCAGCTAAAATTTATCTTTTTTTAATTTGCCTTTTCTTAAATTTGTTTTGTGCTTTTGTTTATTTTGTTTGTCAAAGCACTTTGTGATTTTTATCTCGAGAACCGCTTTATAAATTTTGTTTTACATACTTACTTACTTATTATGGTTTAGACTGTCTGCCCATAAATTTTCTCTTGTCTGGCCCATAACTTCTGATCCACTTGAGATGATTTGATGAAGCTTGATACACATAAACATCATCGCTAGACGGAGTGTCTTGTACACTTTTCATCACCCCAGGTCCAAGGTCAAGGTCTCAAATCAAGGTCAAATGTTCAAGGTCTTTGCTTGTCTGGGCCATTGCTGTAGATTGCTGTATAATAGACAGATGACGGGCGTATAATGTGCTGTATGCAGTCCTCTTGTTAAACAAGCGCTTACAACCGTAAACTTGACGCTGCTCCTGACAGAAGTGCTTCTTTCCCCAGTAAAGAGTTGGTGCAGAGTTGGCACTGGTTTGCACAGGAACCCCCTGAGCTCATTAGATAATTAACACGACGTTAGACTAAGATGGCCTGCTAAAACAACCCAAACGTTACTTAAATAATCTGAGCGCACGTGCAGAAAAACAACATTTTAAGTTAGAAATCAGAGGGATAGCTTCTTTTTTTTTTTTTTGTCCTTCTTACATGTGCATGTAACTTCCAAGTAATAAAATGTTTCCTGCAGGTTTTTCTCTTATTTCTGGTTACTGTTTAAAACTCCAGTCGAGTTATGCAACTCCGAGGACGTGCGTCACTGCGGTGCTCAAACTGCAGCGCAAAGCACCAAAATAAAATGTAACGAGACACTTTGTGCAATTATTGACCGCTCTTCCAAAAGCTGCACGCAAAGTCCAGTTTGTGGTTATAATCGTGGGAATGTTTGGAAATGTTTAATCTGTGTCAAATCCACTCAGGCAGAATAATCTTGGAAAATGAGCACTTTATGAGTGAGATGCTCAAAGTTTGCGCACTGTTCAGTGAACAGACAGTGACAGTAAAAATCACTACAGCCTGTAAAATAAATTAAAAAAGAAGCGTTACATTTACAAAAACTCTGTATATTAGAAACAGTTTAGCAGTTGCTCCTCGTACAGCACTCTAAACGGATGTAAATGTCTCATTGTCTGTATTTTCTCGTGCACGTGTTTGTTGCAGCCGTGTGTATAAAGGGAGGAGACTCGGTGGTCAGCGGCGGTCAGGTGAGCAGGAAACTCGTCTACAAGGACCACGTCGTGGAGCTGACGTACGAAGGAGGAAGCACCTGCTCTGCGAACTCCTCCCTGAAACACAAAACCATCGTGCACTTTATCTGCAGGTACTTCTCCCTCTAACCGCTCTGAATCTGCGTGTTTAGTCTGCGAGTTAAACCTCTCAGCTGATGGAGGATGTTTTTGCTCATCCATCCATCATCTTCCGCTTGTTCTGAAGTCGGGTCACGGCGGCAGCAGCTCGAGCAGGACCCAAGGTGTTCCCAGACCATCCGAGAGACAGTCTCTCCAGCGTGTCCTGGGTCTTCCCCGGGGTCTCCTCCCAGTCGGACATGCCCCAAGCACCTCCGTAGGGAGGCGCCCAGTGAGCATCCTTACCAGATGTTTGAACCACCTCTACTGGCTCCTCTGGATGTGGAGGAGCAATGGTTCTACTCTTGAGTCTTTCCTGAAAACTGAACTTCTCACCCTATTCCTGGGTGCATTCACACCAGCTCTGTTGTCCCGAACTCTAGCCCGTTTGCCTAGGAAGTCCGGTTCATTTGGGGCGGTGTGGACGCGCCATCGAACTCTGTCACGGAACAAAAAGGTGAACTCTGGCCTGGTCTAAAACCTAGGTCTCAGTCCGGTAGAAGAAAACTCTAGCGCGGTTCGAGTACAGTGTGAATGCAAGCAGACCGGACACCGCTCCGCAAGCAGGAAGTGGAGTACAGCGCAGGGCAAACAAACACGCATTTCTCGTACCTCATATGGAGCCGTCAGATGCTTTGTGTGAAAAACAATATTCTCCATGGTCTTCTGTCTCATCTTCTGCTCATGCTGAGTCCATTGTTGAAAAATGACAAAATATAACTCCTAAAACCGCTAAAACTTGACGCCACTCCGGCTTTTTTTATTTCCAGAAGAAGTGTCTTCAGAGGTTTTTGTGTCGTTTCTTTCAGTAGTTCTTTGTGCAGGCGAGCGGGGGAACAGGTTGACTCGACTGCACAGCGCAGTGTGAATGCAAACGCACCAGCTCACATGTAAACAAAATGTCATGAATATTAGTCCCAAACCGAACCGAGTCTACCGGACTGTCAGGTGTGAAAACGACCTTAGAGATGGGGTGAGAAGTTCAGCTACCCTGTGGAGGAAACTCATTTCAACCACCTGTATACACATAGACTGACCGGTAAACGGAGAGCTTTCCCTTACAGCTCAGCTCCCTCTTCACCACATTGTATTAGTCATCTGTTAATCATCCATTGATTCAAATGAGGTGTGTTGGAGCAGATGAACCTCTAAACATGCAAGATAGTGGTCCTCAAAAACCAGGATTGGACCCCTCTGGTTTTTAAAATATCGCTGAGATTTAGTGGATGCGAGTTGTTTTAAGGCAGTCGTGTACGTTATTAATCTTGTTAAATCTGAAATGTGTCCTCTGTAGCGGTTCTTTTAAGATTAGTTTTATTTTTATGTTCGTTCAGACCATCTAGCATGGACCTGACCCCTGAAGAACTGGTTCTCATCGACTCAAACGCTGAAACGTGCACACACTTCTTCTCTGTGCACACACCCCTGCTGTGTGAACAAACCGTAAGTACTGAGGAACTTTTAATATATTTACATAGAAATACATGTTTTCACCCATGACTGGTCTTGTAAAATATTAATTTGAATGTATTTTATACGCTACAGTTGTTCTTCACAAAGATCAATACGAACTTCTAAAAAAATTAAAGTGTTTTTTCTGAACACAACCCTTCATGTATTCAATTCAGTTAATTCAATAACCTTTTTAAAACGGCAAATGATTTAAAAATACAGTAGAGAAGTGCCACATTTACACAAGAAGCTTATTTACACAAATTCAAGTGGAAAACTTGTTGCATTCCTTTATAAATTAGCAACAAATCGACCCTTTTAAAGAGTAAATGGGTTTTTATCAGAGAGCAATGGGCGGCATTGTCTCATCTGATTTTTAAAAGGAATGCATGATTGAATTTTTAGGTGCAGTGGAGGAATTAGACGGAGGCATGTTCAGAGAACAGTGATAAATTCATTTTTAGAAAGAAAATACACTTTAAAAGGAGATGGATTCTTGTGTTGTGTTTTCCAGTTTGGTTTCAGACTCGCTTTCCCTCTTATCATTTATTTCTCAGGTAACTTGTTCAGTCCAGAACGGCTCTGCTCTGATAGACCTGACTCCTCTCATTCACATCAGTGGGTTCTACACAGCGACAGGTCAGTGAGCCAAAGCTTAAAAACACATCAGATCACTGGCAAACATAAAAAAATGACAGATTTTTTAAAAATTATTATTATTTTTCCTCTCAGATGATGCAGTGGACCAAAATAATGCATCTCCAGACTTTTACATCAACATCTGTCAGCCGCTGAACCCCATCCCTGGAGTCACCTGTCCACCTGGAGCTGCTGTCTGTATGGACCCTGATAACGGACCACCTAAGGTGGAAAAACACCAAATGATCACTTTTAATACATTTATCAAATAAACACCAGCATACCTTAAATAATAAGTACATTAGGGATGTTGTGCAATTTGTCTAATTTTAGCTGAAAGATTGAGCTAAACTTTGGTGCACCAACGACTGAGATTCATCCCAACACTACTCCAAGTGCTCATAGATCTCATGGAATCATTCGGGGTTGCATAAAGTTATTTTCAAAGCTCTCCGAGTTTAAAAGTGGCATGAACGACAGCAGTCGAAACGAGGCGGCTGTGGATCAGTGGTTAGAGCAGTCGTCCTCCAACGAGAGAATCGAGAGCTTCGATTCCAGCAGTTAACTTTGACTTGGTCATCTTAAAAATAGCTCGCATGATGGAAAAAGTGTGGACGCCCCTGGTTTAGACAATAAGATGATTTATTCAGGATAAATCTGCAGAGATGTAGTAGAGCTGTGTGAATGTGTTTGTGGGTAAATGTGAAGCACTTTGGGCAGAAAGGCTCTTTATAAGTACAGTTTAACGTACAAGTGTAATGACAAACAATATTCTTAAGTTTGAGACGATACAGGATCTAAGGTGTTTAATGATTGCGTTATAAAAAATATATGTTTCTTATTTGTCTGTATTTTCTGCTCTCTTTAATTTTGTTTTTTTCTGCTACTGATTGAAGGACATTGGGCGGACCACCAGCGGTCCTCAGGTGAACAGTGTGACAGGTAAGGTGTTCATCACCTACCTAAGCTCCACCAGCTGTGATGCTGACCCCTCAAAGAACTACTCCTCAACCATCATCTTTACCTGCCAGAGAGGCCTGGAGCTGGTCGGTCAACAGTCAATAATCAATAGTTCGGTCTCCTTATCTTTTAATCACACCGCTACCTTTATGTCCAGGGTTCTCCTCAGATGCTGGAGCTCCAGGGTTGTATTTATTTGTTTGAGTGGGCGACCCCTCTAGTTTGCTCCGATGCCACTCAGACCAGCGGCTGCAACCTCACAGACTCCCAGCTCCAGTTCACCTTTGACCTTGGCACCCTCGCTGATGAATTTCAGGTGAGCTTCAAGTGTTGTTTGCCATCAAAGATGATTTTATTATTTAACTGGAGAATTGCATTATTTGACTTTCTCCTGTGGAGGTTTTGTTGGATCCAGTAGTAAAACAATGGTTCTTTAAATGTTTCAGGTCAATGGGAGCTCTGGCATGTATCACATCCACGTCTGCGGTTCGGTGGCAGAGCAGGCCTGTAACCAGAGTGCCATTTGTCAGGTGTCCGGTTCTGGTTCTGACAAGTCCGCTTCATCGTTTGGCATCAGCAAAGTCATGACGATGGACTACAAACATGACGAGGAGGCGGTGCTGATGCAGTACGGTGGAGGAGCCCCCTGCCCCCCAGGTCAGACTCTGTTGTTACTTCAAGGCTGGGCGTTGAGTTTTTGTAAATGTCTGACAGGATCTTTTTATGGTCTGCAGCTGTAGAAAAATAAAAATGAAAATCTTTATGCGACATCGAGATATTAAAGCAGCAGAAAGGCGACGTAAAGCTGAGTAACTCTGGAGCGTTCAGGTGTGTCTGCAGGGTCCGTCGTTCTACAGGGAGAACGATCAGTCACAAAATGGGAAACACATAAGGCAGCTGCCAATCTTTTCAGGAGTGAACATTCCAGTAAATTCACCCCAAAGGTCAGACCGTGCAATGCTTAAAGAAATTAGCTCCTTCTCAGACTATTTAAACCTTGGTTAGTGGGTTAAAGGTCAAAGGTCATGGCTTGTTTAGAATCACGGCACCACAACTTAGGACTGTAACGTTTAATTTTAAGGACTTTGGAACAAAACTAGATCAGAGTACAGATGTTTACCCAGAATGCATAGCACCATGTTTGTCAACAACAAAACACAGCTCGTCAGCACAATAACCTCATGCAAGCTGTGAACCACGGGGGTGGGGGGCTGATGGTTTGGGCTCCTTGCAGTCACTGAGTGGACCCTGAACTCCTCTGCAGACAAAAAGATTGGAGAGTCGAATGTGACGAGATCTGTCCGACAGCTGAAACCTGAACTGGGTCATGAACGGGACGATGATCCGAACAACGGCACAAACAAAAATAAAATCTACACAGAACGGATCAAATAGAAAATAATCGAGGTGCTGCGGTCCCGTCCAAGTTCAGAACCTCAACCTGATTAAAACAGGTCTCTCTTGTAAATGAGTCCTCGAGGCTCAATGAGACTAACCTGTAGAAATAAAGGTTGAATGAAAAATACAAAACACTGTGCAGAGAGCTAAGCAGAAATTAAACACAACGTAAACCTCAATTAACTCGAGTTATGTTTAAAAGAAGAGTGGGCCAGAATTCCTCCACAACCATGTCAGACACATAAAAGTCCTACAGAAGACAACTGCTGAGTTACTGCTGGTAAACGAGGTTCTTCCAGCTGCTGGCTCAGAGGCAGGACTTTTCAGGTTTTGTTGTTGCATTTAAATTTAGCGTTCATGCTGCGTTGTCCGTCTGACGTATTTAAACGAACAGGTATTTTATTCTTATGCTACTGATCGTACCTGCAGTCCAGTTAAAGGAGGAGTTTTTGTCTTTCTGTGTCTCAGTGACGGTTCATGAAAAAGCGTGTGTGTTCCCGTTCACCTACATGAAGAAGCAGTATCAAGAGTGCACCACAGACGGAAGTACCGATGGCAGGAAGTGGTGCTCGACCACTTCCAACTATGACCGTGACAAGAAGTGGGGGCACTGCAGCAAAGGTGAGATATCGGTGCTTTAAAAGCTTTGTGGCACGAGTCCGTTTCTGTTAACACGAGTACCGACTGAAGCTGCGATCAAGAGCTGAGCTGGAGTTTCTTCGATATAAAAGAGCATTTTGAATTTATATAGAACATAAACATCAATAAAAACAGAAATAAACATTTTCAGTAGCAAATAAAAGATGCAGAAACTCATGCCTTGGATATATTATATATTCATCTTAATTTGACTAAAGTGATGCTCTGAATTAAAAAAAAAAACTTGACGAAACCAAACACGTTTGTTTGTTCATGACGCCAGCATCGTAGTGGATCTTCTAAAATACTAAAGAATTCAACAAATCTACTGTGTTTTATGGCAATTTATTAAGAGAAATACAGAAAATAACAGGATTAGTTGTCCAACAGCAGGCCACAGGTCTAGCAGGGCTCAGTGGGTCTGCAGGAGTTATGGCCCAGACTAAAAGCGAAGGGTTTGGTACCCTTGTGGCTCTGACCCAGACCATGAGCCGGTCTCTGGCTCAGAATCAGGATGCCTTTATTGTCATTATACGCAAGTACAATGAGATTAAGAGCCACTCCTTCTTTCAGTGCAAAACATGCTTAAGAAAAACACACACTAAAAATATAAAAATGTAACGCAATATAGATATAATAGCACTATGAAAGTTTTAAAAAAACAAGTTATTTCACAATTATGTAAATTTGAATGTTGCACATTATGAATATTAGTGATTGAGAGTCGATGGAAGTTCTTGTGATCAGAGCCACACACTGATGTGGACGACCTGATTACTCAACAGAAGGTTTTATGATCCAGCAGTCACAATAAAAGAGCTTATTGCTTTTTAATTTATGTATTTTTTTTGAGTCACATCTTTGGGTTCACACAAGTTTGAAATGTTCTTTGCAATTACCGTAATTTCTGGTTTATAAGCCGCTACATTTTTCACACGCTTTGATTATACAACGCTGCGGCTAATTTATGGATTTTTTTTTTGTGACAGACTAACAAGCTTCCTGCCACCAAAGCATTTAGCCTCGTCACACCCGGGCGCTCACACAGCTGCCAAATACACGTCTCTCTTGGAGGGGTGGGTCCTCGTGACTCACCATTATGTTTACATGGACATAAGTAATTGCATTAAACAGCCATTCAGAATAAAAATGCTTCGGATTATTCTTTGTTGATTCAGCTCGATCCGAAAGAATTTGTAATCCGAACGAGACGGGTGGTTTATGCCGATTCATAATCTGAAAGGTGCACATGTAAACACTCAATCTGTTCATTTTGTTTCCGATTGTGGAAAACTGACCTGACTGCGCACGTGCAACTTAGTCTACCTCACGTATTTCTGCCTGGCTAATGCTAATAGTATTAGCATGTCGAGGACGCAAAACTGGTCGATGAGCGACGCAACATTTCATCTAGAAACTTGGACAGAGCTCAAAATGATCTGTATCACCTGCAGCTCAGTCGGGGAGCGCAGCAACGTCTCCACCGTCATTAAAACCTGGCGCGGGTCCATTATGGGCGCTCAGGTTTGTTTATGTTCATCCCGGAAGTAGAACTCTCTTGTTTTGTGTTTTTTTTTTTAAGAAAAGTTTACCACTCTGCGCGTGTCAGTACTTCTATTCTGAATAAAAACCCGCTGCCTGTAAACGCTCATCGTGAACAGATTGTGCCCATGTAAATGATACATTTGGATTATTTAATCTGAAAACATTACAATCCAGTCAAAGAATTTTGTGCATGTAAACAAAGATGAAACTACTTTTTTTGTTTTGTTTTGTTTTCATTCAACCTTTATTTCTACAGGTTAATCCCAGTGAGCCTCAGGAACGTGATGACAATAGTGGACAACAATAGACGGTCTTAAAGGATGTGTACAAATAAAAAAAATGTAAAAGACAAGTGAAAATAAAATGGTTATTAAAAGGAAAGGAAACCTGTATAAATAAAGGATTTTTAAAAATCTAACCAATAAAATTATCGATCAGGTCACAGTGGACCAGTGAAACTTCAGCCGTGTTACAGGCACTGTTCAGAAAAAAAAAAAAAGCATTTATGGTACCGGTACATATTAAAAGTTTTTAAAAATTTTTGTGTAAATCATGTTGTAACGTGGGCTTATACACATGCGACCTGTATACGTTCTTTTTTTTTCCTTTTTAAATTTAGCAGGCGTGGCTTACCGTATATTCAGGTGCGCTCAATAGTCTGGAAATTAAGGAAACACAAATATATCAAAACCTCTTTGGAATCAATAACATAAAATAATTTTCCATTCACAATAGAAATGTATATACTCCCGTTTCCAGTTGGTTTCAAATAAACAAATTTGAAAATTTTAAAAATATATATTTTTTTTCTTGACAAAGTAACACATTTCTTTAAAAAAAAAATAAAAACTGAACAATTTATCTTAAAATGTGAAGTTTTCTGAAGAAAAAAATCTAATAAATTGTTAAAAATCCTGTAATTTGGGTGGGGTTTAGACCGCCTCGTCAAAATAACTAATAGACCATTGATGTGGGCCTCGAGTCTAACGGTCCGTCTCTGTTCCAGTTTCAGCCAAGCGTCAGTCCTCCATCTTGTTCACCTGCGACCAGTCTGCAGGCCGCGGCTCCCCTCAGCTGCTGTCGGAGACGGCGGGTTGTTCGGCCGCGTTCCAGTGGCGCACCAACGCCGTTTGTCTCCCCAAGAAGATGGAGTGCAAGTTGGTCAGTCAGCACAAGACCTTCACCTTCAGGTCCCTGTCGTCCCTCACGGAGCCGTGGAAGTTCAAGACCGAAGAATATTCGTAAGTCTGCTTTGAATTTATTTACAGGTCTCTCTTGTAAACGAGTCCTCGTGACTCAATGAGACTAACCTGCATCAAAAAGTGGTAGATTGGATCGGGGACTGCCTAGAAAGGCAGCCACCGATTATTATCCACCTGAAAAGGGTGTGCAACATGCACCCACACAAATTTTATATCAAGACGACCAACTTGGCACCGTGATATGTGCCATTAATTTTATTGACATTTTGAGTTACCGTGGCGACGTAATTTGCAAACAAAGGCGCCATTTCTCTCATTGAAACAATCTATAATCAGCCATTTTTAGAGAAATTAAGCTAAAATTTGGTGTGTTGGTAGCTGAGAGCTAAATTTAAATGCCTTTAACGCAGCTATTTTTGCACATAAAGAGCTGAAATTTGGTGTGGTTATAGCTGAGAATGTTCCCCGTCACTTCCTGAATCCAAATCAAAAATCCAAGATGGCCACCATAGCTTAAAAAGAAAAAAACACTATAAGTCGTTGATATATTTTGCCACACTGAGCTGAAATTTGGTATGGCGGTAGCTGAGATCAAACCCCTACGCATAGTACGGTCAAATCAAATTTTTAAAATGGCCGCAGCGTGGCAGTCCCCGTCACAGTTCTCCGGGAACTTTCTAGTTTTAGTTATTGTTTTGGTACTTTTAGCTTGCCTTTAGCTTGTGTTTGGCCTTTAACTTATCGCTACTTCTAGTTTTTAGATAACCTTTAGCTACATTAACTTTTAGCTAGCATTTTGTTACCTTTAGCCTTTAGCTAGTGTTTTGTTACTTATTGGCTTTTATTCTACTTCTTTTTGCAAGTGTTTCTTTTTTCTTTTTTCAGTTTTAGCGTATCCTTTTTAGCATCTTTTAGCTTTCACGAGTTTCAAAAACAAACGTCAGTTTGATTTATTTTATTTTTTTTAAGTAAAATTACCACAAATTTTACCTAAAAAACCGTCTTGAAATACAGAATAAATGATCGATGACCAGAGCACAAGTTTTAAACATCAGAACATCTGCTCCTGCAGAAATCAGTGTTTTTCAGTCTTGGTCCTCGGAGCCAACAGACCAGTATGTTTCGAACATTGTCCAGGTATAAACCGATGAGACATTAACAGGCCACTGAGGGGGTCGATTATTCCTTTGAATTAAATATTTTGAAGCAGCAAAAACTTGCAGAGCATTGAGGACCACAGTCAGGAAACTGTCATGGAGGATGTGTTGACGGCACGAGGCTCAGACTTTCTGCTTTGTTCTACGAGTGTAAATAATTGTCTCCTTTGTTTGTTCTCCTCGACCTCAGGTACTACATCAACCTGTGTCAGGGGATCCACGGCGGGCTGACGGACTGTCCAGAGGGGGCAGCGGTGTGCCGACACTCATCAGGACAGACTCAGACTCTGGGACGAGTTTACACTCAGAAAATGAACTACACTGGTGAGCAAACTAAACGCATCACCGTACTTTACAACAAAATAATGAAATATACGCATCTAGCTTCGTTTGCTGTAATGTTTATTTCTGCTCATGGCCAGTCAGGAAGACTGTGCAGCACCTGCTCGTTATTTTGTGCCTCACTTGCATCTGGATTTTGAGCTTCACAAAACTAATATCGCTGATTATACATCGACTCAAACACGCTCGTCCTGTTCAGCACGTGCAAACAATCTGCACTCGTTCTGCGAGTTTGATCTTCCGTCACAAACGCAGCCGGTGTAAAAGTGTCCGAAAGACTAAAATGTTTTCACACGGTGAGCTCCAGGTCTTAACAGATGAATTACAGAGACATTAGTTAAACCTGCATGAACAACATTTGACTGTTTCAGGGAGGAATCGCTCTCAGGATGATGTTTTAACGTCACTGATCATCACTGCGGCTTCGTATTGTCTCTTTCTGTGCCGTGGAGAGTGTGCCGTTAACCATGACCTCATCAGGCGGATTGGACCCCCTAGTTTGCAGTTGGGCTGAGGGTCCAGGAGGGTTCCACCATATTTATTCCATAAGATAATTACTTTGGGTTCTGTTAGACCTCTGGGTGTGAAGTAACATCTGTTAAAATGTTTTATATTCGTATAGTTTTTTTCTGATTTTTATGCCCTTTTCTGATAATTCATCGCAGGAAGAGCAGATAAATTGGATTTTTCCTGACACGTCTGCCTTCTTTTTAGTCTTCTGAGCAATAATACACAGCTGCAGACTCTCAAAGCCGCACCGAGGTCCTACGTTTGTGAGGACCTGCCAGTCCGAGGTCACTTCCAGAAGCAGCCTGTATTTTTCTGGTTTTTACGCAAATGAAAGCACAGATACCATTTTTATTATTGTCCATATTTTTTATGGTTTTGTGTTGCATCCAACGGTACTTCAAAAACCTGAAGTGGTTTGGCCTGTTTGCCATTCTCAACATGCAAAAGGGATTATTTTCTCCTATTTCTGCACGTGCATCAACCAGAAGACGCCTGAGCGTGGCCAGACTTCAGAGTGGCCCCTGCAGTTTCTTTCTGAGACACCAGATATTATAATAAACAAATATTTCTCACAAACAGATGCTATTTGCTGTGGTAGCTACATAAGTTTTATTTTTTTCCTCAGAATTCATGTGTAGTTATATTCACCTTTTATAAATGTGGACAAACTGCACCAGCGCAGAGAGACACCGTTTGGTTGTCAGTGCGGTGTAATCACATTAATATTAGATTGATGCACTTAATCCTGTCTTGTACTCTCAAAAGACGCACACTCCACTACTGAATCTGAGTTCTTTCTTCTGTCATCTTCATCACAAACCTGTTTTCCTTTGCAGATGGAAAGATCTTCGTCAGCTACTCGGCAGGAGATGACGTTTGTGGCAACGGCAGGAAGGCCAGGACGGTGATCCAGCTGAGCTGTGGCCGTACAGTTGGTCACCCGTCACTCCTCAGGTAGCGTATTGCTGAGAAACAGGGGTTTCCCCAAATTCTCTAATTTTATTTTCATCAAAAACTAGAAAATAAATGCTGTTCAACAAATGTACCGCACTTTTTGCTCTATAAGTTGCACCTTTTTAGTTAAATCATCGTGCCCTGCGACTTATACAGCGAAGCGACTTATTTTTGTTTTTCATTTATAACCTTCTTTTTGCCTGAGATCTGACAATTTCGTTCATTCTGACATGGAAAATATTGAACACTACCATTTTCAGCCGCTAGAGGGCGCTCGAGTAATATGGCAAGCCCAGTGTCTCATTAATAGGTAAAAGTGGCTATTAATGAGACACTTGACTTGCCGTACAAAGCCACCTTCGTCTCGCTCTGGAACTCGTGAAGCAATCAGCTGCATGTCGCTGCGCCGCCCAGGTGAAATGCAGCTGATTTGACCATTAAGGTGCATTTATTAAGGAAAAGTTAAATTGAGACGCACCTTTGCTGTAATTTCAGGCAAACAAATAATTGTTTTTAGGTGGTTATCTTGTTAAATTTAGAAGAAATCCACAGCGAGTCCTTCTTCTGTGCGCTCCCGCAGCTGCAAATCAGCTTTCGAAATGCAGCCGAGTTGACAGTTAAAGTGCATTTATTAAGGAAAAGTTAGACTTAGACACACCTTTGCTATAATTTCAAGCAAACAAACAATTGTTTTTAAGTGTTAATCTTGTTAGAGTCCTCCCGTGCACGATCCCACGGCCGTCATTTGGCAGCCCATCGATTTTTGGCACAACACCGGCCCACATTTCTCGTTGTCAGCGGTGACATGTAATAAATGCAACTTATTTATGGATTTTTCCACTTTTATTAGACATATTTGGACTGATGTGACGTGTACGGCGGAAAGTGTGGTAATACCTAATTACACTTTAAGAATCAATAATTTTCCTTTGATAATACTGGGGATGTATTTCTTCAAAATAATGTGTATATTTCCACAAACGCATCACTCTCAGCAGAGATGCTCAGTTAATCAGTATGTTGGTCTTAAAAGTTAAAAATTCCTCCTCAAGCGTTGTTGAGTTGCTCTGTACAAACATTTCACAACACACCGGATGTTATTCAGTCACAGCTTGTTGGGTTTAATATAAAATCACAAAAGAAGTCTTAAAATCAATTTTTTTTATTTGTATGTTTGCTGTTTTTTTACACAACACAGACGTCGTTTTATGTTTATTTTTTATTATTTACCAGCAGTATTTACAGTGCTTTTGTTTTTTTAATTATCCTAACCGGCCAAACTGGACCCCATCGTCCTAACAGGGTCAGATTGAAGTGACAGAAATGTCCGTTTGTTGTCAGCGTTTGTGTTTTTTGTGCGTGAACAGAGTCGACGCAGCGTCCTGTGAGTTTGTGATTGGCTGGGAGACTCTGTACGCCTGCGAGGAGAAACAACGCGAGGTGGAGATGGAGAATGGGACGATAAAGATTCCCGACACCGGAGCCGTTCTGAGTCTGGGAGCGCTCTACTTCAGGTAACCGACGCACAAGTCCACCTGTGAGACGGCTTTAACACATAAACTACATGAAGCAGGTAGAGGGTGGGGACATGGGCCAGTCATGAGACTGTCATAAACGTGACAGTATTTTGAGTTGAAGGATGCGTCTACTTCCTGAAATCCAAAAACAAGTCATTTTTTAACTTTTCTTTTGTCATCTAAACCGATAGAATGCTGAACTTTTAATATAGAGAAGAGACAGAAGTGTAAAGAGAACCGAGATGAGTAGAAATGTTCAAGCTGCTTCCAGTAGTTCATTAGCGTCACCGTGACAACCGACACCTGTGTCTGTCACTCCCTGACAAAACTTGGACACCTTTGTTGACGCCCTTGCGTTGGAACACGGTGTTCGTGACGAACGAACTGATGAACACAGAAGTCCAATCACGCCCCTCCAGGTCAGAGAGTGAGCGTCTCTGACTCTGGAGGAAGGTCCAGCCCCTCTCAAGGAGACCGGTTCTAGAACCCGCATTGTGTGTTGAGGTGAGCACGTCTGGATCTAGTCGGTACCTCTCAATCTCGCGCACAAGTTCAGGCTCCTTCCCCACCAGAGAGGTGAGGGTCAGAACGCCAGAGCCCCCGTAGGACCCACAGGAAGGTAAACCCATGTATTTTATTCAGGTGTGAGCCCGACCAAGACCCATAGGTCGGGCCCGGTCACCAGGCGCTCATTGACGACCCCTCCCCCAGGTCTGGGTTCAGGTTGGACCCCTGCTAACCCACGTTCAGGCGAGGGGTATCAAGCTGCTTGGTGTCTTCGTTCCTTACAAATATCGTAAATCGCTGTGTCTGGCCTGTCACCTATACCAGTCTGCCTTGAGCGACCCAACAGAAAGTTTGTAGAATAGTTCAGGCGCACAGATTCCTCCACCACGATCAAGATCCAGGTCTGAAACTAAACTATGTAGCTCCCTTTGGGCTACCCATTTTACCTCACAATGATGGACAATCATCTTGTTTACTTAAACAAAACAAGACGTGTGTTTAAGGTGTTTATGTTTTTCAGCCCTCACAAGGCGTCTGGAGACATCCGTCCCAACGGCGACAGCTACATCTACCACATCCAGCTGTCGGGCATCACCAACAGCTCCCTGACCAGTTGTGTTGGTGCCACCATCTGCCAGGTCAAGCTGAATGATATCTACAGACGTAAGATTGGCCTCTCCACCAAAGCCAAGTATTACATTAAAGGTATTGATATTTGTGAACAATAAAACTTAAGTAAATTATTATTATTCAAATTCAGTGCCGCCACGGTCCCCACCTCTAGAAGGACCATAATTTGCCAGGCTTGACCATGTTGTGGTCCACTGAGACCAAAACCGAGTGTCAGGTCTATAAATAATAACAGATCCTTTAAGGTTATTCTCAAACGTTTAAAATTAAATCATGTTGTTACTTCTTTGTCTTCAGGAGGAAATTTGGACGTAATGGTTCCCACTGACTCAAAGTGTGGCCGTGCAAAGACCAAGTCAGTCTCGTCCATCATCATGTTCCACTGCAAACCTTTAGCAGGCGTCGGTATCCCAGAGTTCCTGCTGGAGACGGACGAGTGCCAGTATCTGTTCATGTGGCACACAGAAGCTGTGTGTGGTCTCACGTAAGTAAAGCTCTTTTTTTTAATCTAATCATCAGATGTCTTAAATTTAGTTCCAGGAGGTAAAAGTAGTTAAATTCTTTCTGCAGAACTGTTGACAGACAGACGACGGACGGCGACGACTTCACTCCAGCTTCTTCTGGGCGGAGCCAGACGGCGGGACTCCTGATGACCGTCCTGTTGGTGTGTCTGATCATCTGTCTGCTGGGGCTTTTGCTCCACAAGAGAGAGAGGAGGTGAAGCCTCGGACATCCCAGTTGTCTTTGTGTCGTAGATTAAAAAATATATATATGTTTAATATGTGTTTTATGAATCTTTCCAGGGAACTGGTGATGCAGAAGGTCGCTGGTTGTTGCAGGAGAGGAAACCAAGTCTCCTATAAATATTCAAAGGTTTGTCGATGATGCGTGTTCTTATTCGTCAAACAGAAAACCAGACAGATCAGATTTAATGTTTTTAAATGAAGGTTCAGTTTGTCCTCATGCAGTTATTGCCCTAAACAAAAACAAAATAAATCCTTTTTGCTTTTTTCTGGAGCGAATACATACAATTTAAAAAAAAAAACATTTGGTCTCTATTAACATTTTCTAAAAGAAAGAAATTTGAACAATAAACTGCTCAAACAGTTTTTTTCTAAACTGATTACTGTAATTTTCGGACTGTAAGCCGCTACTCTTTTCACATGCTGTGAGGCTTATACAATGCTGCGGCTACTTAATGGATTATTTTTTTTTTGGACAGGTAACGAGCGTCATGCCGCCAAAACATTTAGCCTCGTCACACCCGGGTGCTCACAGAGCGGCCCAATACAGGTCTCTCTTTGTGGGGTGGGTCCTCATAACTCAGTGAGACTACCTGTATAAATAAAGGTTTAAAAAAAATAAATATGACAAATGGAATTACCGAACTGGTCACAGTGGACCAATGAAACGGGGAGGGGAGAACAGGGAGGGGGGATAATCCCCCATCCATGTGAGGTGGGATTCCCCTGTTTGCACAGAGCAACTTTTGCTCCGCTCCAGTGGATCCCGACAGCGGAGCAGTAGGAATATTTTTACACATTTTACACCGCTTTATCGTTTTATCATTTCTTCTTTTTACTTTTCATTTTATACGCTTTTTATACGCTTGTCTATTGTTGTGTGTACCTCATCTGTGCTCGTTGTTAAAACGGGTCTCTCTTGAAAATGAGTCCTCGTGGCTCAATGAGACTAACCTGTAGAAATAAAGGTTGAATGACAAATTCAACCTTGACAGGTCATCTTATCTCAATTCATCTGGAAGTTTTGTAAATCTTTGATGCTCTGCCCCTCCCACCGAGGAAGTCTACGGACCAATCAGAGGGGCCCAGACTTTTTTTAATTCTATCATACGTTCGTCCTTGGCTGTCCTCGGCACCCCCCGAGAGTGCACGGATCTCTCCAGAGGGAACTATTTGAACTGAGCGATTTTATCCGAACTCTGCAGAGTCTCTGTGTGTTGTCTCTGGACATACTCACCGTCGTTGCGTGCCCCCCCTCCCCCACGCGGAATGTCGGTGTCATTATGTGCTCGTTGTGCAAGGGTTTTTTTTCATTATCGTGCCGTTAACCTTCAGCCAAAGATTAAGAGCATGTTGGGAATTGTTTTGCCTCCAAACCCGATGTGTCATTTTCACAACTTGTTATTGTCTGTCCAAACAGGTGTCACTTGTAAACGAATCTTCGAGGCTCAGTGAGATTTGTCCGTTTAAATAAAGGTTGAATAAAAAAAAATGAAGATGGCGATCAGTGACTTCCTATTAGGCTACTGTTTTTTTTTTAGTTTGTTTGTTTGTTTTTTAAACCAGCCGTGTTACAGGCATTATTAAGAAAGAAAAAAAAAAAAGCATTTAAAAAATGTTTAAAACGCCTATGGTAAATATCAAAAAATGTGGACACCAGCGGCTTTTATATACAAAACTATTATTATTATTGTTAATTTAGTGGGTGCCGCTTATAGTCATGTGCGCTAGGGCTTTAACAGACTACTCGAGTAATCTACACATCGGTTCCTAGGACATCTATCGAGTTTTTTAATTTCACGTCGAGTATCCGTGGTGACGTCATCACGTCGCCGTTACGTCATTGCGCCACGTGTCACGTGATCCGCACCGGGCGTGGGTTATAAAATGGATTCCTCCCAGCAGATGGAGCGGAGCAGGCCCAGTCTTGGCAAACTGGTAGAAACGCATCAATAGTCTGGAAATATTTCACTAAAGATGAATCTTTCGGTTCAACTACCGTAAGGAAACAGAAAATTAATCAACTTCCTGACTGTTTGGAGCTCGTTGCGAACCGGTGTTACACCATATTCTGTGACCACTGTGTATTGTGACCGTAGGGGGCGGTGTTGCATGCACTGTTGCAGGTCACAGAATATGGTGTAACACCGGGTCCAATCCCTGAACCAGCTTCTTCTGACCTTGTTTCACAAACAAAAAGCAAAAAATATTAATCTGTAAACCTATAAAAAAAAACCTATAAACATATTAATCTCTAAAACTAAACCTAATGCGCACCACAGCTGGCAGTGGTGCGGGGTGGTCGGCCCCCCCACTGTTTTTAGTTTTGTTTTTGATGTGCTGCATGTTTCTTTCAGTTTTGCAGTTTAATAATAAAAACTAATAGTTTTGTTTTTCCTGTGACTTATTTGCTGTATGATAAATGGTAGGAGCATAATTTATGCTCCCAATGTTTTGTTGGTCTTTTTTGTAAATAATGACCTTTTGTTGTGGTTTTATTTATTTATTTATTTTTGTATCTTTAGATCCTATGATGTCATCAAGTGCTCGAGTTCTACTAGAGTTTTATTATGTTAATGTCGAGTTTAAAAATTATGTAGTCGTTCAACCCCTAATGTGCGCTCAATAGTCCGGAAATTATGGTAATTAGAAGGTGATGTAAGATCCAATTTTTGGTCAGATTTTCATGAAGTCGAGCAGAACGACTACAAAGAAAGGCAAAAAAAAGTGTAGAAAACATAAATAAATAAAATTTCTCGTGTAAATAAACGAAAGGAGAAACTGAGTCCACCTGATCCAGTTTGCTGTTTGTCTTGGCTCTCCGTCCTCTCCTCAGGTCAACACAGACGAAGGAGGTGAAGAGGAGATGGAGTGGCTGATGGAGGAGCTCGAAGCCCCTCCTTCTTCCTCCTCCTCCCACCGCGGCAGGAGTAACCATAGCAACGGCCACATCAGGACCAAGCGCGTGAACACGGAGGGCCTGCGGTCGTTCTCGCTGGACGAGCAGGAGGACGACAGCGAGGACGAGGTCCTGAGCGTCCCAGGGGTCCGAGTGGTCAAACCGTCCTCTGTCTCCTCCAGGAAGTCCACGACCCATCACACCGCCTTCCTGCAGGTGAGCGTCCTCTCTCCCATCGACGGGTCGCCGCTCGCGTCTCAAAAAGCTCACGTGAGGCTTAAATTTCAGGAGGAGAGCGACGAGGACCTGGTCGGCCTCCTGGACGAGTCGGACCGGGAGAGGAAGAGCAGAGGAGCTCGTTCTTCAGGCCTCAGTCACGGTAACGCCACCAGGAAACGGGAGGAGGAGGACAGCGACGAGGACCTCCTCAGGGTGTGATGTCACCTCCCCCTTCCTGTTTCACTCCGTCCAATCAGAACTCTTCTCTCAGTGAATGTCTCCACGATAACAACAACTTCCTGAAAGCAGAACTCTTTTCTCTGTCGGGGGACGGTTTTTGTTGAGCTGCACCTTCGCTCGACCTCCTCGGACTCGGTTCACCTTCTGCAGACTGCTTTAATTTATTGAGACGTTATTATTTAAGCTGTTCTCCTCCTGGTTCTGGATCCACAGGACTTTTTTTTAGTTTCCTCAGTCTCTACGTGAATGTGCTGCAGACTGGAGGCGGGCAGCGTTCCTCGGTGAAAAGAATAAATTCTGTCCGGTGTGGGGTTTTCTCTCTCGGTGGATTGAAATGACGTCGTGCCGTCGTTTTAGCACTTTGATGACCTGACGACGACGTGTCTGGCTGCAGACTGACGGAACGTTTCTCTTCTTGAACTTTCGTGGAAAACGGGTGAATCGAGGCTGTTTTTAGGCGAGGGCGGTAAACGTGCACGCTGGTCGGGGTTTATTTAAGGGAACGGTCTTTTCCTGCTGTTTACAGTTGCTGTTAGAGCAGTTTATTTAAATTTTTTTAACTTTGAAGCGAAAGTACGATGCCTTCCCAATGAATCCACATACTCGTCTATGAGTCACGTCCGGCGGCGGGCGGGTTTTGTCTGTTTTTGATCCGAGGCGTTCGTAAATGATCATCTTTGTTTTTTATGGTTTGTTTGTGTGAAAGTAGCGATGGCCTTAGGCGTGAATGGATGAGTGACTGAAGGGAAGCTGATGTTGAAGGACCCCCCCCCCCCCCCCCCCACACACACACACACACTGAACTGCGCCGTGTCGGGCCAAATGATCGTGACGTGTCAAATCAAAACTACGAAACTAAAATACTTCAATAAAACGGTGACGTGTTCCAGTGAAAGCGTGATCCTCACAGTATTTGGGCGTCGCCCCTCGTCAACATTTTCCTCAGTTTTTATAGTGATTTTAGTTTTGGCCACATCTGGAGATTTTTTTTATTTATTTCCTCATGCGAGCTTGTAGAATTTTTGTTCACATTTTAGAGCTGAAGTTCAACAAAAAGCTGAAAACAAACAAATGTTTGAACCCACTTTTTTTTTTATGTCGCTCCGAAAACAGCGATTTATGGCGTATCAGAGGAAAATCAACTGAGGAGTGAACCCGACTGTATTTGTTTGGTTTTTACGGTTTTTGGAGTTTTTATTTTCTTGACCCGATCCAAAGTGCAGTTTTTGGTACTCCCAGATCCTTCACAACAAGAGTCTGAAACTCTCAAATAATCTGAATCTTATTAAAAAGTGACATTATTATTATTATTATTATTATTATTATTATTTGTTCTCATGCTGCAGCGTAAACCACCAGAAATTTGAGGAAATCATTCTTGGGTGGTGTAGAGCTCCAGACGTAAATACTTCTTCAATTAAAACCATTTTTTAAAGTAATTAAATCACAACAAAAAAATATTATCAGTAGTTATTGTGAGTATTTAGGCTAAACGTTTGTTTTTTTACTCCTTTAAGTCTCAAAAAGGAACATTATTTTTGCCATTTGAGTTTTATTTTTATGATTATATCGGGATTTTTATCTTAATATTTTTGACTTCCTCAGTTGTTTTTCGGAGTGGCTCGAATTCAGCGTCACGTTTTTTTATTTAGCAAAAAAGTTGTTTTAATTTTCTTCTCACGGTCGGGAATTTACGACGGAGCTTTAGGGCCACGCTAAGAAAAAAAAAATTAAAAGCCATAAAATTACGAGAATAAAGTTTTGCGAGACTTTTTTTTTCTTCAGCTCTCATTTATTTATTTATTTATTTATTTATTTTCCACAAGTCGGATCCACGACGGTACCTGTCAATCAGTCCAGTAGGCGTGTCAGCAAATGACCAATCCGAAACTAAATGCTCCTTACCTGCAGAGCTGTGCTGCAGCCCATCAAAGCGTACCACCTGACTGTAAGTCCTGACACTGATAATAATCTGATGCAAATGTGCTAACAGATTAACTACCGGTTTCTCCTTATTTGTAAAACCGATGCCAAAGTATAATCTTCATTTTACCTCAGTTAAAATGTCGTAAACCTGCTGCTTTATCGTGTCGGGAGTTCGGAAAATATTACGACTCATTTAGCTTCGGATTGGTCATTTGCTGACGCACCTACTGGATTGATTGACAGGTGGCGTCGTGGATCCAACTCGTGGGAATAAATAAATAAACGAGAGCTGCAACAACAAAAAAAAGTATCATACGACTTTATTCGACTTTATTCTCGTAATTTTATGGCTTTTAATTTTTTTTTCCATAGCGTGACCCTAAAGCTCCGTCGTAGGAATTGGTCAGTGGATAAAAGTTCAGATATTTCTTCTATGAGATGACTGTTTTCATCTTCCTTTGCAAACATAAAGACGGACGAAGCCCCTGTTTGTTCCGCTCACGACACATTGAACTGAAGTTTTGAATTTTCAGCTTTAAAAGAAAAAAAACACCAAAAAAACTGAAGTCAAATTTTAAAAGGAAATTTAAAACTTTTGCTTTTCAGCAGCTAAAATGTTGAGATTTTTCTGTTTAGTTTTTTTTTTCTTGTTCTGCTCGTTGAACTAGAACACTTGAAGCGCTCCCATCAGACTGCAGGAGTCTAAATTATCAAGAGAAGCAAACGTCGGAGGATCAAATCGTCTCCGTCGTCCTTTTAACGACAAATAAAACCGCTCAGTTTGATGCTTTCGTCTGTCGATTCTCATAAAACTGGAAGTATGTAAACAAAAAAAAAAGTTTCAAACTCACTGGCACAAAATCTTACTGAGAATAAATTGTTTTAAGTGCGTTTAATTTACTCAACTTTTCTCTGTAAATGAAGAAAATCAAAAAGCTTTTTACAAACAGAATCAGTGTTTCTACAGAAAACAGTATTTTTCATATACGTTGGTATAAAACAAATTTATTTAGTCCCTAAATCATAAAAAAGATCAAACTTTAAAACCAGTTTTGAACTGTTTTGAAACTTCAGAGACCACCAGATTATCCTCTAAAAGTTTCCATCATGTAATCTATTACTTTTAAAGGTCTTTGTAGAGTAAATGTATCATGTTTGTATCTTCGACAGAGGAAATCGTGAAAGCTCACAGGAATCCAAAGAACTAAAAACCTGTTGCTCGCACATCAAACTGACTTTCTGGTGTTTGTTTAGCCTTTGCGGTTTCGAGGAATAAACGTCAGTTTTTTTGTCATTTGTGAACTTTGTGTCTCTGCCGGGGAGGAAACCCAGCTGCACTCGCCCCCTCTGAGTGCGTGTGAAGTTTTAAAGCTCCCATTGAAGCTGATTTTTATTTATTTTAAACGTTGCACCAAAGTCCGTGCGGCTCATCTGCATGGCGCTGCGCCGAGGCACCTCTTCCCTGATTATTTGAACTTTCTTGTGCTTTTTTTTTTACCTGCGTTTACAGAATCTGTTTGACAGAAATTGGGAGTTAAATTCAGAAGAACTGGAGCGAAACTGACTTTAAACAGAAGAACGCACAAGAAAAGAACGATTCGGTACTACCAGAGTTCATTTTGTGTTGGTCTAAGTTTTGTTGCATTTGTCTGCAGCTCTTTGCCTGTTTTTCCTATTTAAAAGACAATTATGTAAAAATTAATGCATTGTTTGAATAAATAAGAGATCTGCAGCTTCTTGTTGTTTTGGTTTAATCACAAACTGATTCTGTGACTTTTTACACAAAAACGTGACCTGAAAGACGTTAAAACAGAACTGATTACACTCTTAACGATTCAGACCTAAGTTTTACTTGTTTAGGAGCTTTTTTCTATTTAAAAAATAGTTGAGTTTAATTGCAATCAAAAACACAGTGAAGTCACTTTTTAAATTTTAAAAGTTCCTCCTGGTCAAAGAAGTGAAGCCAATGAAGGAGCTGTTCCCAGGACCTGGTGTCTGATGGCCAGCAGAGGGCGACATTTTGCTGCTGTTTGATCTTTAAGCAAATTGGATCAAGGCCACAAGAAAAAAACAAAGAGGGAGATCGTTTCTAAGTTTTGAGATAAAAATAGAAAAGTTAAAATAGTTTTTCAAGTCTTTATCAAACAAAGTGAACCCCCGTTTTGCTCCTGAATTTGTTCCGTTTTTTTATGATTACGGGTGCACTTTCACTGGATAAAACAATTATCAAAATAAGCATTTAATTTCAACCAGTTTGAGGTAATCAGTCAGCGTACATGTTTCAGACTCTTATTGTGAAGGACTGATGGAAGTTGCGTGGCATCTAATGCAGTGGAAGTTATAAACGGCACGACTGACTATTTAAAATAAAATGATTTGTCTTGTTATTTTAAAGTTTAACCAAAAATAGTGCGTTTATAATCGTCATCTATAACTGTAGAAATGCATTTTCCTGCGAAAACACAGTATTATTGCAGAAGAACTTGCTGAAAAACTGCTGAGATTAGCTAAAAACATGCTGAAATGAAAGAACAAGCCTAAATTAGCAGAAGGAAGCAGAAAAAAAAACTGAATTAGGTTTAAACAAGTTGAAATGAGCACAAAGTTAGGAAATCAGCTATAAAGGCTGAAATGAGCAACAACAAAAAAACATCTGAAAAGTAGCTGAAAAGGCAGAAAGAAGCTTAACCTACCTTTAAGGAAGTGGAAAGAACTGAAATGAGCTCAAAGAATGTGGAAATTTGCATAAAAACTGCTAAATATTAGCTAAAATAACAGAAAAGCTAAAACTAGCAGAAAACCCTGCAAGGAGCATAACAAGCTGAAATGAACAGAAATAATGGTATAAAGTTTATTCATTTTTAAAAAGTACAAAACAATTCCACAACAATATAAAAAAGATACAAAAGATTTAAAATGAAAGGAAGCAGAAAGAAGAAAAAATCTTATTATATCTGCCCCTTTTTTCAAACAATTATTTCAATCATAATAATCTTCAAGTAACAGAACAAAATGAATAACTCTTTTTAATTTTTCTAATTCTAATACAAAACACACACTAAGCTACTTCATATATACTTTTTTAACAATTCAGCTTTGATCTTTTTCTTAAATGTGCACATTGACTTGGCATTTTTCACATCACTCTCTAGACCATTCCACAATCCAACTCCTTGGATTGAGGTAGACCTTCCCTTCAGACTAGTTCTGAATTTT